GGTTTCCCTTTCTGGACCTGGTTTCTACTTTTCCATCCTGCCTAGGAAAGCCAGAGTCTGTTAGTCACTATGAATCCTCATCTTTTGTCTGCTCTCCACCTTCTAGGTAAGTCTATGGATTTAGTTCTTCCCTCCACCCCTCCCTTTCTGTTTAAACTGGATCCTTTTATGTAGCCTAGGCTAACCTTGAACTTCCTGTATAGTCTAGGCTGGCCTTGAACCTTGCCTTAACCTCCCAAGTACTACAATAGATGTGAGCCACCACACTCTGGCTTTCTTGGGCTTTGATACATATTTGTGAATACATGTGTTACTCTGAACCCAAACAAAGAGTCCAAGCATCACCAGGACTTCAGAAAATGCAGTCTTCGTTCCTTCTGCCTGACATTCAGCAATGTAAGACGGCCTTCCGTGTCACACTGTCACCGTGTCAAAGAAGCAAACTGTTTCTTTAGATGTTTTGACTCTCAAAACTAAGGAAATTTGCCTACATTGTCAGATGTTAGCTGTATTGCTCCCTATAGTTTGGAGTTTACAAGTCCGATTTCTTTTCAGCAATGGCCCCTCTATGTAAACTTGGGCAGAGTCCCCTGGAGTGAGAAGTCATTGTGCTCATGCTTCCACTGTTGTAAGATGTCCAAGGTGGATTATGAAGCAGGATTAAACAGGTGAACAGGCTTTCCTTTTGAGAGTCAGGAGGTGTGTCCAGCTATTCTGTCTGCTTCATCGAGCCTGCTCTGCTTCATACAGGGATCTGATGTGCTGTGTGGTGCTGCCCCCAACTGGTTTATTCTGATTCTTCTATTCTATTAACATGTTCTGAGCACATCCATGTTTTGTTTTTAAATTATATTCTCATTTAAAACAACATCAAACAAAAAGATTGTGAATTAGACGGATCAGGTATACCTACTTGGTAGATGGGAAAACTGAAGGACAGCTGACCTTATTGATTTTTTTTCAAGATTAAATAGTTCTTAGAAGGAATAATTGACTAGAATTCAATTCATATCTCTTGCTCATTATACCATTAGGTCCTCTAGTCTTTTGTTAGTTCATTATCATAGTCTAAAAAAGTATACTCATTATACTTGTAGAATTTGTTCCTTTTTCTCTCTTGGAAAGAGGAGGGAGATAATGTATCTTGAAAGGGTTGAGTAAATTCACTTTTGAGTTCCTGTTCTGCATGGAGCTATCTCACGCAAATGATGTGACCTCTAACTCCTTGTATAATGAATGTAGTTGTAAAAAGATGTACTCTGAAACCAGATTGTATTGTCTGCCTGATTCTGCCCTTAATAGTTGAATAACCTTATTTAACCTTTGAATGTCTTTTGTAATATGAGAGTAATGCAGATAAATCTATTTACATGTTCCAAAATTAGAAAAACTCACCTGGCTCTGTAGTGCAATGGATAGCGCATTAGACTTCTAGACAGAATTAGAAAAACTCTGAAATCAGAAACACCTTTGGTCCTAAACATTTTAGACAAGGGGTACTCAGCCCATAGTACACTTACCTTGTAGGGCTGCTGTGTAGATTAAATGAGATAATGTATATACAGTTTTTAGAAGTGTTTGGTGTAATATATAAAGCACTATATAAATATTCACTGAAAAATACTGTTATTGTGATTTATATATGTGTGTGTGTATACCTTTGCATTTCCTTTTTTCTTTTCCTTTCTTCTCTTCTCTTCTTCTTTTCTTTCTTTTCTTTTCTTAGACAGCATCTCACTATGTAGTACTGTCTGGCCTGAAACTCAGAGATCTGCCTCCTAGGTGGTGGGATTAAAGGCATGTACCACCACACTCAGCTACTTCTACAGTCTTAAGAAATCATCCCTGGCATGGTGGCACACACCTTTAGTCCCAGCACTCAGGAGGCAAAGGCAAGCGGATTTACGTGAGTTTGAGACCAGCCTGGGCCACAAACTGAGTTCCGTTCTGGGATTCATAGAGAAACCTTGTCTTGAAAAGTAAACAACAACAACAAAATTATCACAGGAGACTGGAGAGCTGGTTCAGAAGTTAAGAGCATTTGTTTTTGCAGGGAGCCCAGATTCAGCCCCCACGACTTACATGGTGGCTCACAATTATCCATGAACTCCAGTTCTAGGAGCTCCAACATCCTCTTCTGATCTCTAAGGGCACACAAGTGATGCACATGCATGCATACAGGCAAAACATCCACACACATGAATCTTTTTTTTTTTTCATTAAAAAATAAACACAAAGCGGGGTGTGATGGCCTATACATGTACTACAGCATTTGGGAAGTTGGGGAAGGAGGATCCTGAGTCCAAAGCCAGCCTTGGTTAAATAGTAAGACTGGTTCCAAACAAACAAAATGGCAAAAACCTCCCAAAGCAGTGCTTCAAGATTATGTGGGAATAATGGAGAACAGCACATTTCTTGGAAGAATGCCTTCTTTAGTCCGTCCACAGCCCTGTTTCCTCCTATTCAACTCACTGTGCCTAACTTTGGTCTGAACCACTGAACTGCTCTGGCATGGCTGCCAATGACATCCCAGTGTCCGAGTTGCAAATGGACATTTTTTTCCGAGCACATCTTATTTGGTGTGTACAGCACTTTGATACTTACTGTAGGTCATTTCTTTTTTGGCTGTTCTCTTCTTTTAGCTTCTGCGATGATATTCTGGTATGGTTGTTTTTCATTTGTTTTTTGTTTGGGGTTTTTGTTTTGTTTTGTTTAGAGACAGGGTTTCACTATGTGGGCCTGGGTGGCCTGGAACTCATTATATAGACCAGAGAGATCCACCTGCTTCTGCTTCCTGAGTTCTGGACTTAAAGGCATGTGCCACCAAACCCAGCTGTGGGATGTTGTGATGTTGTGTGTGTGTTGCCGGTGTGTATGTGGGGGGTGTCTCCTGTAGCTCAGGTTAGACTCACACTCTTGATCCTCCTGAATTTACTTCCTGAACACTGGAGTTAATGGCATGTGCTCTCATGCTTTCTTCCTCCATTTGTCCTTGTCTTTTCCTTTGAACTTTACCTTTCCTAAGGAGTCCAGGTCCTTACCTGTAGGCTATCCCCTCTATTACTTGGCATCAGTAATCACCCCAGCTCAAGACTGTCACTTCCTAAGATTTGGTCTCCTGCTAGACTCAGTTCCTAACTAACTCTTTACTTTTTTTCTTTTCTTTTTTCTTTTTTAAGACAAAGTCTCACTTCGTTTTAGGTATAGGGCTCATTATGTAGGCCAGGCTGACCTTAAACTCATGGTAATCTTCTTGCTTCTGCCTTGTTGATGCTAGGGTTACAGCCATGAGGTACCATGCCTGGCATAAAAATGGTTTTTGTTTTTTGGTTTTTTTGTTTTGTTTTTGAGACAGGGTTTCTCTGTGTAGCCCTGACTACCCTGGAACTCGATCTACAGAACAGGCTGGCCTTAAACAAACAGAGATCCACCTGCCTCTGCCTCACAAGTGCTGGGATCAAAGGTTTGTGCACCACCACACCTGGCCATAAAATGACTTTTTTTTAAAAAAAAAGATTTATTTATTTATTATGTATACAGTATTCTGCCTGCATGTGTCCCTGCAGCCAGAAGAGGGCACCAGATCTCATTACAAGTGGTTGTGAGCCACCATGTGGTTGCTGGGAATTGAACTCAGGACCTCTGGAAGAGCAGTTGGTGCTCTTAACCACTGAGCCATCTCTCCAGCCCATAAAATGACTTTTTAAAAAGGTGTTTGGTGGGACTGAGGAGCTGAGAGATGGCTTAGCAGTTAAGAGCACTGAAACAAGTGTGAGGCAGCCCACAGACACTTGTCACTCCAACTGCAGGTGGTCTGACACACTTCTGGATTCCTCAAGTGACTGGCACATCCGACATTAGACACATACTCACACACATACACATAACTATCTTCCCCATGGTGGTACACACTTTTAATCCCAGCACCCAGGAGGCAGAGGCAGGTGGATCTCTTATGAGTTCAAAGACAGCCTGCTCTACAAAGTGAGTTCCAGGACAGCTAAGACTACATAGTCACAAACAAACAAACAAACAAACAAACAAACAAATTTTAAAAAACATTTAGAGGAGATCAGGCATGGTAGTATGTGCCTGTAATGCCAGCACTTGGGAGGTAGAGGCAGGGAGGATAAGTTCAAAGTCATCCCTGGCTACACAGTGAGTTTGAAGTTAGCCTGTGCCACATGAAACACTGCTATAACAGGTCTTTCTTTGGACTGCCAACTTCCAGATAATGACACTGAGACATTTTATTATGAAAGCTTGGCCTTAGCTTAGGCTTGTTCCCAACTAGCTCTTAAAACTTAAATTCTAAGGCTTGTATCTTATTAGCCAAATTTTTATTATTTGCATCATTAACCTGTGTTCTGCCATGTGGCTTGTCACTTTTCCTTAGTACAGTGAGTCTGAGTTCTTCCACATCTTGCTGGTGAATCCCCTGCTCCTCTGATTTCTTCCCAGATCCTATCTCTACCTGAAGTCCCACCTGTCCTCTCCTGCCTAGCTATTGGCCATTCAGCCCTTTATTAAACCAACCAGAAGGTGCCTTAGGTAGGTGAGGAAGGACAGAGACACATCTTCACATAATGTACAAAAAGATTATCCCAACACACTTTCTCAAGACAAATGGCTGAAGTGATAGCTCCGTGTTTAAGAGCACTTGCTGATCCTGCAGAGGACCTAAGTTCAGTTCCAAGCACCCATGTGGTGGCTTACAGCCATCTCTAACTCCAGTTCCAGAGGATCTGACACCCTCTTCTGGCCTCTGTGAGCATCAGGAATGTATGTGATACACATACATACATATATGCAAACATTCATACACATAAAAATAAATCTTTATATTTGATCTTAGCAAAAAGGCAGAAAAGCCACAAGGTAAATCCTTAAAAAATGGAAGAACAAATGTAGTTTCTAGGTGTTTGCTCTTCTATGCTTTTAAAACCACCGGTCCAAACAGTTCTGATAAATAGTAGTGGGGCCTTCCTTCTGTTTTGCAGTATATCAACTCTGGGAACCTGGAACAGCTGCTAGACAGTGACCTGTATTTGCCCTGGACTGTGAGAGTGAAACTGGCCTCTGACATAGCAGTGGGCCTCAGCTACCTTCACTTCAAAGGCATTTTCCATCGGGACCTCACATCAAAGGTACGAAGACTATTTTCATAACTCTTGAGAAACACAGGGCTAAAAAACAGTTGTTACGGAGCCTAGAAATATGAGGATCTCTATTCTAGATTTAACTTTTAATCAAAACATAGTTCAGTACTTGATACAGTTAATCCTTAGAAAGCTTCTATCTGGGTTAAGGATATAGCTTAGTTGGTAGGGTGCTTGCTTAGCATGCACAAAGATTTGATCCCCAGCACTGGATAGAAGCAGGAGGATCAGAAGCTCAAGATCATTCTCAACTACATAGAGAGCTCAAGGCCAGGCTAGAGGTCCTAAAAATCAAAACCAAGCCAGCCTGTATCTGCTCAGAGCAGGCACCTTTGAGTACCGAGCCAGACAGTACACACATCTTGAGAGCCTTTATATTTTGATTTTATTCTCCTGAATGTGTGCTGCATAAGCCCCTGGAGAGCTTTCCGAGAGCTGTGGAACCCTGCCCGTTTTCTCCTCCATGGCCTCCAGGAAGCAGCTCTGAACGAAGAGCAGAGTTGGGTGATAGTGAGTCAAGTGAATGAAGGTTTGGAGTGCTCGGTGGGCCACCGTGTGCTGACCCATTTCTATTGTGTGATAGAGTTTCTGCCACCCTGCCAGTTCTGCTTTGATGTTCTCTGGTCTCTGTAGTGATGTTCTGTTGTCCAGATTGCTGTGTGACCAGGTTAGAAAACAGTTTCTTTCAGAGAAAGTTGGCCTTGTTACAAAACAGGAACTTGAGGGCTGAATGTCCCAGGATACTTCCATGACAAGGTTTTTTTTTTTTTTTTTTTTTGTTTTGTTTTGTTTTGTTTTTTTTCCGAGACAGGGTTTCTCTGTGTAGCCCTGGCTGTCTTGGAACTTGATCTGTGAATCAGGCTGGCCTCAAACTCACAGAGATCCATATGCCTCTGCTTCCCAAATGCTGGGATTAAAGGTATGTGCCACCACCTCCTCACTGAATGACAAGGCCTTTAAATAATATTATTTGAGCTAATGGATGAACTGGAAGGCCACATAGGGTACTTAGTGTGACATCTGTGTTGCACGAATCTTAAAGAGTCTTATTAATAAAACAAACCCGGAGCCAAGTATTGGGGTGAACACTGGAAGATCAGAGAGACAGAACAAGCCACAGCTAACCTCACCTGGCCAACTTCTCAGCTGGTCTTGTTTCCTCAGACTGGAAGCCTCTGTGTCCTAATATCCGAATGGCTCTCAGCTGAACTGTGCTGTTAGAAGCCTGAAAGTTTAACCAGCCAAATGCTTCTGGTTTCTGGTCTCCCCGCCTTATATATCTTTCTGTTTTTGCCATCACTCCCTGGGATTAAAGGCTCACTTCTTGGGATTAAAGGCATGTGTCACCATGCCTGGCCGTTTCCAATGTGGCCTTGAACTCACAGAGATTCAGAGGGATTTCTACCTCTGAAATGCTAGGATTAAAGGCGTGACTGTCATCATTTTCTAGCCTCTGTATCTAGTGGCTGTCTGGTCTCTGACCCCAGATAAATTTATTAGGGTGCACAATATTTTGGGGAACACAATATCACCACACATCTGCCCAAGGACCAAATTAAAGTCTTGTAAGGTTTTTTAGAGGGTTTGTTTTGAAGGTTTATTTTCATTTTATATGTATGAATATGTGCCTACATGAATGTATATGCACCATGTGCATGCCTGGGGTGCACAGGCCAGAAGAGGGTATCAGATTCCCTTGTCTGTTGTAAGCTGGCATGTGGGTGCGAGGAAACAAACCTGGGTCCTCTGCTAGAACAGCCAGTGATTTTCTGTAAGCCTTCTCTCCAGCCCTAGGAGTTTCATACATAACCAAGAATAGTAGTCACTTTATTCCTCCCCCACATATACACATGCACACACACACATACAGGCATCTATTTGGAAAGATCCAAAATCAGATCTTTCTACTAAAAGTATTATTTCTTCTAAAGTAGAAGAAATTTGCAAAAAGTTATCCCCCATAACTACATGAATGTTTCCTATGCCTGGATTCATGGATGGAAAAATAATTAAAAGGGGGAATTTTTAACTTATAATTACATATGGTCTCATTGAGAAATAACTAAAGGAGCCAGGTGGTGGTGTCCACACCTTTAATCCCAGCACTCAGGAGGCAGTGGCAGGTGGATCTCTCAATTCAAGGCCACCCTGGTCTACAGAGTGAGTTCCAGTACAGCCAGGGCTACCCAGAGAAACCCTGTCTCAAAAACAGAGGCAGGTGGAGAGAGAGAGAGAGAGAGAGAGAGAGAGAGAGAGAGAGAGAGAGAGAGAGAAAGAAAAGAACAGTGCCGTATTTTATAGTTGAATATTCAGCTGCATGGACTGTAGACTTTTTATCACAGGGGAGATCACTCTAGGCCAAGATGGTAAAGCTTACTGGAAGAAAACTCCCTGCTCCTCAGCAGTGTAGCATATTCCCTTTCTGTACTCTGAAAATACTTTGTCATTTTGGTTAGTATTCTTTTTGAACTTGTTGTAGTAAAAAATGAATAAGCTCTCTGGGCACAGATAAGGAATATTTATAATTCCAGTGCTTGTAAGAGTGAGGCATGATGACCACAGTTTGAGGCTAGCTCAGGCTATCTAGTGAGACTTTCTTTCAAAAAACCAAACCAAACAAATAAAAAGACCAAACAAGCAAATAAAGAAAAAGACCAAACTAAAAAAACCTAGAACTGTTGGGTGAGATCCCCAGCCTTTGATTTCCTTATATGAGAGTAGATATTCTCTTTAGCAATGGGCTTAAAGCAAAATGATGGGAGGGCTGGAGAGATAGCAGAGCCATTGAGAACACTGGCTGCTCTTCCAGAGCACCCAGGTCCCATTCCCAACTTCAACATGGTGGCTCAAAACCTTCTGTGATCCAACGCCCTCTTCTGGCCTCTGCAGGCACTGTATGCACATGGTGTTCAGACATACAGGCAAAACACCCATACACATAAAGACAAAATCTGTGGCTGTTATGTAGAACTGAATAGTATTGTAAAATAAAAAAAAAAAAGAAAGAAAAAAAAGAAAGTTGTGTAATCTTGTATCAAAAAAAAAAAAAAAAACACAACCAACCAAACAAACAAAAACAACCTAGAATCTTAAAACAATTCCTTTTATAAGGAACCTGGCTGGCTTTAGAAGGGCAATCCTATGTTTCTGCCTCCTGAGCACTGGGATTACAGACATGCACCACCACACTCAGCAACTCTTTGTTTCTAGGCCATACCTCCTGGGCTTTAAGGTGGTATTGAGGATATTTGGAAATGATGAGATTAAATGAATTTTTAAGGTCTAATGATGGTATAGGAAATTCTCTAGAACAGTAGGTTCAGCTGGGTAGTGGTGGTGCCCGCCTTTAATCCCAGCACTCAGGAGGCAGAGCAGGCAGATCTCTGAGTTTGAGGCCAGTCTGTTCTACAGAGAGTTCCAGGACAGTCAAGGCTACACAGAGAAACCCTGCCATGAGAAATGAAAAAAAAAAAAAAAAAGGGAAAAAAAAAAGAGAAAGAGAAAATAAAACAGTAGATTCATTTGTTATTGTTTTGCAATGCTTGGAGTTGAACAGAGGACTTTATTCATAGTAGACGGATACTCTACCGATGAGCTGTATCATTAGCCCTGCTTTTTTATGTAACTTTGACTGACCTCAAACACAGCAATCCTGTCTTAGCCTCCTCAGTGCTGGAATTAAAGTCTTCTGCTACCATGCCTAGCCCTGTTTGTTCTTTTGTTGTTGTTTTATGATTTTTTTGTTTGTTTTATGTGCATTGGTGTTTTGCCTGTATGTATGTCTGTTCGAGGGTGTAGGTACAGGATCCCCTGGAACTGGAGTTACGGACAGTTGTGAGCTGTCATGTGAGTGCTGGGAATTGAACCTGGGTCCTCTGGAAGAGTAGCCAGTGCCCTTAACTGCTGAGCCATCTCTCCAGCCCCTGTTGTCATTAAGATCACACATGCAATATTTTTTTCCCTGTCTCTCTGAGACAGAGTTTATGGAGCCCTGCCTGTCCTGGAACAGGCTGGCCTCAAACTCAGAGCTCTGCCTCCTGAGTGCTGGAATTAAAAGCATTAGCTACCATACCCAGCTTAAGATATATTTAAATTTCATTTATGTGTATGAGCATTTTGCCTGCACATACATATGTACACCACTTGTGCACCTGATGCTGGGACAAATCAAAGGTGTCAGATTCTTTGGAACTAGTTACAGATGGTTATAACCACCATGTGGGTACTGAGAACTCAAACCCCAGGCTTCTACAGAGCAACATGGTTGCTTTTCTTTTCTTTCTTTCTTTCTTTTTTTTTTTAATTGTTTTTCATTTTATTTTCTATGTGTGTTGGTTCTTTGCCTACATGTATGTCTTTGTGAGGGTGTAGGATCCCCTGGAACTGGAGTTATAGACAGTTGTGAGCTGCCATTGGGAATTGAACCTAGGTCCTTTGGAAGAGGACCAATACTCTTAACCATTGAGCTATCTCCCTGGCCTGCAACACATTTTCTTAAGCACCAAGACATCTCTTCAGCCCCAATTCATTCTTTTTGCTGTTTTGCTTCCTCCCCCCCTCCCCACCAGACAGGGTTTCTCTGTGCAGCCCTGGCTATCCTGGAACTCTCTTTGTAGATCAGACTGGCCTTGAACTCATAGAGATCTGCCTGCCTCTGCCTCCAGAATGCTGGGATTAAGGGCATGCCCCACCATCACTTGGCCCCCAATTCATTTTTAATTCAAGCTTCCTTTACTCTGAAAATTTCCCCCTACTGGTTGTGTGGCCTGGGCTCTAACTGAATTGGCTTAACTCTAGAAGAACCAACAAAGTATCTTCAGTAGAGGCAGCAACACCACCAAAAACCAAAACCAAGATCTAAAGGTACAGTTCACAGTGTGTACTCATACTTCTAAGGGTCACCACAGAAGAGCAGCAGTGTTCTCCTGATTTCAGGCAGTAATGGGACTGAGCTCAAACAGGCTGCTCTCACAGCTATGGTAAAGAGC